TCGCATGGCAAGTGTATGTGATTCCTTTTTCGGGGGATCAGCAATATGCTGAATTCAATTTTTATCCCCCAGGGTTGCTAGTTCTGGTGGATGAAAGATAGAATGATGATGATGATAATAAAGGATGAATGGACGACACACACAAACAGACAGCATACGCACACAAACACCCCCAAGCCCGAGGCGGCACTCGAACTCGGAATCCTCCTGTACGAGATTGACACGGCACTACTGCTTTAGCGATCTCGGCTATCCAGATCGGTATTATTGGCGTTATTATTATTATTATTATTATTATTATTATTATTATTATTATTATTATTATTATTATTATTAGGTAGCGGCAAGCCTTTTTAAGATGAAAACATTATAGTTACATCCTCCTTTAACATCACTATGTTCACCTTTACGCATGACATTTAACGAATAAGCCATATTGCGAAATTGTGAAGAATATTTTTAATCAAATCCTTATTCCTTGAAACCTTACAGAATGGCATTTCCATTGTTCTTGTAATTAACTGAACTACGTAAAATTGCACTTGGTTTCACCTTCCTAGAAGTAGCGTTACAAGGTCGTATGCATTTAAAAGAGTGAAACAAAGATCACTTATCACTGGTTATCAGTGGGTAGTGATTTTTGGCACCGTCATGCGATGAGCTGGACGCATTGCCAAAGAGCTTCCCTTAAGCCAGGTCTACTCAGCAGTCTGCACTTTCACTGACCTCGAGAGCGGCGCGCGAGCAACGTATTGCAAACCCAGGCGGCGTGGAAGGGAGGGAATACGGCTCATTCTAGGAGTGTGGGCCGCCAAAGAGAATGCGCAATCCGAGCCGTCGCACGTAAATTGAGAAAGTAATTGCGAGAATTCGACAGAATATTACATACTGCCCAAATAGCATTATCATTTATTTTGGAAATGTTTGTTGACGATTTACGATATTGTACAGTATGAACCTAAAACGAATTAGATATACATATTTCATTTGGATAACTTAAACACTATAATTGCTTGGTAGGGAACCAAATGTAATTTTCTTTGCTAACGATGTAATCGCTAATTTAGTGTGCTGCTAAATAGACAATTGTAATATTAAATATTTTTTGTTTGATGATAACAGTAATAAGCTATTTTTTATTAACCATGTTTAATTGAATAAGACGGTTCTATAGAAAATAAAAATCTTATTGTTAAAAAACTATGATTACTTTCTCTTCTAATTATTTAATTTACGACAAGAATATATTATATATTTCTAATTTCAAATCAACAAACACTTGTAATCGTTTACGACGTGGTATAAAAAAATAAGCCCTTTGTGTTCTATTTAATAAGACTCATAATTTCATGATTGCCCATAACATATCGTCAAGAGGTTTCTTGTTGGTACTTCTTATTCAGCTTCATAATCAAAAGAAATAGCCCCAAATATGTGCTGCCAAATATTGCCCTTCTTAAAATTGCCTGTATTTCATTTTTATATCAATCTCGGTGTAAGAGACTGCCCTCAATTTCCTCCGTTATGCTATCATTTGGAGGTTATAACATTCTTGGAAAAAAATGAGTAATAAAATTGTATATTTTTGTTTGTTAAAATTACATTTGTTCAAGGAGGTCTCTCTTTAAAATATTGATTATGAGTTACAATAAAAGAAATCGAAACATAGCAGTGTACAGAACATAAACAATGAAATATAGTCCTTGTAACTAGAAATATTGTAGATTACTCATTTAAATTAGTGGGCAAATAATTTCACGCATTCAATCTACGCGCCACGTCGACATCGCTGCAACTTCTCCCCTCCCCGCAAAGATGACCACTCCTTACTACATGCACTTTTGCAGGTCTGCCTTAAGCGTATCTCCTAATGCAGAACGGATATGAAGTGCAGTGTCAAAATGGAATTTCTATGTACGTCACAGTTGTCAATAGTGATGTCAATATCAGATAAGATTTTCTCTAACGGGGACGTCCTAGAGCTCGTATCCCGATGGTGGCAGGAGTTTTGACAATAACTACATTGCGAGGCCAATTTCAACCGCTCTCTCCAAGATAACTAGCGGGTAGCTGCTCTGTTCGCCAGTTTTCCATGGTTTCTCTGATCAATGCCATGCAAATGCCGGAGTCTAACAAAATGGACTTCGGACCTCTCGCGCTCTATTCTACCTCTTCTTTGCCTTATCCTCACCCCTTTGCTTACACATGCTTACACTTACATGCACTACACTACAACAAAGAGCATGCCGGCTGGGGCGGTGCCTTACTGGTGGGAGAAACAAAGTTGGGGGAAAACCCCACAAGCCGACGGGCAGATAGGTGCCGGTTCTCGCCACACAATGGGGGATGAACATCGCCACCTCTAGGAGCAAACCATTCACCACACTTACGGAAATAATGACTTTTGCAGTAGACGCGCTCAGAAACACTAATCAACCAACCAACCAATCAGTCAGATAAAAGGTAGGTTTATTGCCGTAATTATTTTGGATCGGTAAATCCAATGGTGTCAAAATGTATTTCATGCACATTTATATTTGCAAGGTTTTAAATAAAATAATGATAATTAGTATTTGATCTCTCAATCAGATCAATCTGCATATGATTGTCAGATACAGTGTCAATGTATCGTTCCCCATCCCCTGCCCGATCTCCACTTATAACTGCAATTCATTTGTAGCGGCTAGGCACACATGTAATTTCCACTTCAGATGAGGCTACTGTAAACAATGCGTTTGTATCAATAGTCGGTCAAAAGGTACTGAAGACTTTTATAATTGAAAAATAATTCGTTTGTATGATATTTTGTATCAAATAAGAAAGATATTTTACTTAATATACTGCATCAGGACTCTTATAAAAGTGACTGCTTTTAAGATGGTTGAAGTTGACCTAACGTTGCATAATTCCCCTCCACCACCTGGAAGTTTTATTTGCTAAAACTCTGTATGCGTAATTTCGACTCTTGTGTGGCCTATAATTCTTTCCCGAGTGGGAAATAGAAATTCTATGAAATCTCATTAGAAACAATAATTTTCCCGTTCTTCCTGCTGTTTGTCAATTACTTCTTAGAATGATAAATGGATTTGATTACTTGACAACCAGCTTTTTTTCAATTAAATAGATTTCTGTTCGCTCTGATCATTATGCATCCAAATAGTAGTAGTCAAAGGAAAGCGATGCTGTTTACTATACAGTTAGTTTGACACATTTGAAATCTGAAAATCAAACTGTTAGTTGTGATGGGCAGGAAATGTCTTTGGTGTGGTGTTTGTTTCATTGTTTTAATTTTGGAAACAGATGCCGAATAAAGGATGCGTGGACACATTAGCCAAATGGTCCAGAGTGCTAATCAATATTTTTCAGTTTTAGCATTGATTACCTAAAATAACGAAATAGCATTAGAGGACAACAAGGGGGTACTTAATCTTCGCATACCTCAGAGTCAAAATTAGTTGATGATGTTATTTCAAGTGAGGTTACTTTCATAGTTTATGGTGGTTGTAGTTGCAGTTTTGATAACATTTTACTATTTTAACGTACGTGTATATTTGACAAATATCTCAAACTATTCTGCAGGCTTCTTATAACGATTCAAAAACTGTAGCTTGTAAATTGCTAAGCCTTTAACGTTTGATACCAATTGGGAAGTCACCCAGACCATTTGCCGAACAGGTTAAGGGCTCACTTGAAAACTTGAAGAATAGTTTAATTTTTAAATTGAACCACCACCCCGGAATTCTTTAAACTTCAGTCCCTATTGTGAAGTTCCCAGAACACCTGGAAAGGTGGTTGAGAGGTTATATGAAAACTTAATTTCTTTACATGTCAGTCCTTGCGCGCTTTTTTACCTAGTGAATACATTCCACCTGCATGATCTTTAATATATTATCTATTAGTATTCCGTATTCGCGAGTCATTTTTACTACAACTTAATAGATCGGTAAGGTTTTTAACCCTTCGTTCACATATTAAGTAGTCTGTGAGTTAGAGGTATTCGCCACTACCTCACACTTACTCAATTTTACAGGAGAGCAAATTTAAGATGTGGACTTGAGTTTTAAAAGAACTGTAACTCCGCCAACTCTTGATACAGGACATAATGTGCACCTGTGGGTAGATAACTCATATGATTGTGCCAGTAGTATCACTTCGGCCGAAAATGACGCCTACCTTCAGAGATTCTACGAATATAACAACGAAAGTATAAATATGGGCTGCTTTTCAACCTCGTGACTACGTTATTCAAGTGTCCTGCACCGCTAAAGCAGCTTACTGGAGGCGGATCTTCCATGCGGGCTCAGGTCGCGCGCGTCTCCCTGCTTCTTTCGCGGCGTGGTTCCGAAGCAATTACAAGTTTAATGGAAGCCTCCCACACTCGCAATCCCGCGCCCCGCTGTGCCACCAAAGCCACGAGCACCCGAGGGCCGAGGCACCGGTTGGGACAATACCTGTCGCCTTGTTCGTCTCTGCGGGCGTACACCCGCTTTGTGGCTGTGTGCCCTGTCCCACTTACGCTGTACGAGTTTCGTGGGCTTTCGTTGCTATCATTTACTTCCTCAGTGAAAGTGAATAGGTGTAACGGTGAGTTTATCTCTTCAGTCGAAGTCTTTTTTCAGCCGAAACGTACAAGTGGTTGGTGGATAGCAATAGACTTAGAAATACTAGACCTTAATTGACCACATTGCTTACCATAAAAATGTTCTTTAGATAATATTATAGGTTAATTTATCAACGTCTACTTAGCACTTAATGTAACGTGCATTCGAGACGAGAAAAAAATTAAGTATTCATACTTTTAAATAGTGTCAAAGAATGAAACCCACAGCGATTGGTATATTATAGGCAAATAATAGATGGTGTAGAAAAATTATTATGGCATTATGGATTGTACCATATATTACAAGAATAAATAAATGTATGAGTATAGGATCAACGTAAGTTATCCAAACTATTGTTTTACGAAAATCTAACATTTGTGTTTTGGTTGTTTGTTTCAGAACTGGGAGGTGATGAATACGGCAGTGCTGACGGGACGCCAGGTGTCCCAGGCCATGAAGGTGTTCATCGTTTCGCAAGCCGGAAAGGTGGCTGATGTCACACTGCAATCTTCCTGTCACTCCGAGGACGAAAGCGTGCTCAAGGTGGGGAACTTCATCGAGTGCTGTTCTTTCAGCGAGCGTAATACCATTTACGTTTTCACTATCGTTTTTTTGCCTCCATGGACAAAGGACAAATTACTGTTATCATTGTTAGGAAAGAATAGTTCCTTAAACCTAAACGTAATGTAATTTTTTGGCATTACAACAAGTTTTTGAACACGAGTTGATGGTTGTTCTCAGCCGTATAAAAATGGTATTAGAATGTAAATTTCATCTTGATCTGGCTGTGACACATGTTTTTCAACATTACATTCAGCCCAGAATCGAACTGAATACTTTTAAAACAAATATGAAAGATTTTGAATGCAAAGTAGTGATATGAAAGAAATAGGCGTTAAAAATCTACAATAATGTCGGATAGAAGAAAATATTTTGGCTCTACGTAAAAGTATATTGCATATTTTCATGTACAAAGAATGTTTAAATATTTGTCTAGTCGATACGTCGGTTGTACTGTTTAAATTTAACACCAAAAAAACTTCATAAAATAGTTTGAGGTTATTATAAATATGTATGTACACGTAAGTTTTATATTCATTTCTCGGGAAAGGCAGAGGTAATACATAGACCTTCTTTTCTATACTGTCATTTTTAGGTAATATTTTATAAATTTAGACTAAATTAAAAAATTCTCTATGTGCCCCTGAGACGCCACCGGTGACGACTACTTCTCCATCTAACACTTTCCATTCGCTTCTTCCAACTTCCTCTCTGAGCCAACACTTTTCATTCCCTTCGTGTTCTGCCTTTTTTTCTTTCAACTTCAATGGCTCTTGCAGTTAATGGGCTCCTAATAATATTAATACAAAATATAGGTCCATCAAGTATCGAAATAACGTTAGAATATTAATGAACAGCTGTAAAGGCAGCAGAAGTGAACGGCGCGAAGCGGTGGCGGCGGCAGCGGGCTTAAAAAGTTGGCCGCTCTCGTTATTACGTTACTTGTAATGACGAGGCGGCGACGGCGGCTGCCGCCCGTGCCGAGCCGGCGCTATCTAATTTTAACAGGCGAGAGGCATCAAGCCTCGCGCGCACACTTTTTCTTCGCGCCGCCGAACGAGCTGGCGAACTTACTCCTTTACTATCACTTCCCCCCGCCATCGTCCTCGTCCATGTCCCCGCCCCCAGTCCTCTCACCGACCCCACCCCGCCTCGCAACGCCCCCTCGTACCGCCCAATGTCCCGCACTCGCGCCCGTCCCATCACCCGCCCGCGCTCCATCCCACCCCTGGCCCGCCCCCGACCCGAACCTGCCTCCTACCCCCGGCCCCTGTTCCGCCCGCCCGCCCCTCAACGCCCATCTCCGCCCCGCTCCCCTCCCGGCCGCCGGGCCGCCAACCATCCAAGTATCGCGTACCTCCAAGCCCTCGTCCTCATCCTCGTTACCACCCACCGTTTCAGGCTCCCTCGCGTCACGGACCCATTACCGCACGCAACTGTACTATACACCTGCGCCGTCTCCTCTCCTCTCCCCCCCCTCCGAATATCTCTCCTTGCATTGCCGTACATCTGCTGTTCTACTACGGAACGCGAACTCTTCCTTTTCACCACCACCGTCACGCCTCCGGTACTTCTTATGACGCGGTCATCGCCATTTGCCCGGACACCTAATCTCACTGCCGCCTCACCGGTCTTCCAAGCACATCATTAACTGCAACGCCCCCACCGCAACGCCCACTGCTGAAGACCATGCGCTCCAGAGTAAAGCACGCGACCGACCGCGCCGTAACCATCGCCACCTCCTCGCGAAAGTCCCTTGGCGTTAACATCGGCCCGTCGCGTTCCGCTTGCCGCCGCCCCCGCGCGCGGCGTGCCCCGGGCCCCCCCCTTTCTCGAACCACGAAGCGCTCCCCACCACACCCGTCCGGCTGCCACCGACTGCCTCCCCTAGGTGATATGCTCCGACCCTTATGGGAAAGTACTTGCATACGCTCGTTCAGCGGAGCCCTATCCAGGCGTAAAGGCTAAGTGTGCTGGGGTTTCAGACCAAGGAGGTTCGGCTGTGTAGGCGCGGTGGGGGGGGGGAGTGGGAGGGCTAATGGAGAGAGGCTGGGCGGGAAGGACATGATTTATGGAGGGCGCTTCTGCCTCGTTCGACGGGCCCCGCTTGACCCAGTTTCCGCTCGGGGTTCGCGGCCCGTCGCGAATCATCGCCCCTGTCCGGAGATGAGGGGCGCCGAGGTGGGTGGAGGGGGAACGGAGGGGGGCGGGTGGGGCGGGAAAGGAAACCGGAAACCGCGCTCGAGGGACCGACCAATCTCGCTTCACGGCGGGCCGCCGCCGGCCTCGCCGCTCGACGTTCGCAGACCGGCAAATGCTTGCGTCTTTTCCCGCCTCGCCTACAGCGCCGCGCCGGCCTGGCGCTGCGAAACTCACATCCACGTCACACTCGTGGCCTCCGTTCGAAACTCTCCATAGCACTTTCTGCTCCTCGCGCTCTCTATTGCACGTCGACGACTTCGAGGGTTTATGTGTTGAAATTTG